CTTTTCTGACGATGATATGAATAAACATCAAAATACCACTAAACCCAATCTATTCTTTTTGACCATGAAGTAACTAGTTAATTACTCTTTTTAAAATTTTTTTTCTTTATTTTGTTTTTTAAATTGTTTCACCCCAAGCAAGGTGATATGGCCACCAAGATGCAAGGGGTTACCCTATGAGAAAGAAACTTAGAAAACATTACTGAGGAGAAGAAACAATAAAAAAGAAAAAAAAAAAAAAACTAGAATTCAAGGAGACAGAAAAACAAGAAGCTGGGAGAGCTCAACAGGCAAAAAAGTGCAAGACAAGAACCCATGAGAATAGAACTCACAGGTTACATCTAGCTATTTCAACAGTAAAATAAGGAGTCCAACTTGCTAAAGAGACTGGTTCAGTAGAACAATTGCCATATATATATATATATATATATATAAAAAGAAAGAACAGTAAGATATATAATCCGGTGTTCTTATAGATATTTTTATTTTTACAAAATAGTGCTCAATGTAAATTTACAGAGCATTAATATTATAAATTAATTGATTTAATGTTTTTTTTTTTAGCTACACAGTTCTATGTTTCAAAAATGGAAGCTAAAAGCTTCAAATTTAATTTTGTAATTAAATTAGAAGCTTCTAGCTTCCATTTTTTGAAACATGGTTAGAACTGTGTAGCAAAAAAATATTTTAATCAATTATATATATATATATATATATATATATATATATATATATATATATATATATATATATATATATATATATATATGAGAGAGAGATAGAAGGCACAGGGAAGCTACATTACAATAGTGAGAAAGTGATTGAAGCTAAGATGCCAGGCCAGAATTAATAACATTACAGATTCTTCTTTGGATTATAAAACTAAGTTTTTTTTTTGTTTTTTTTAAAAATTATTTTGAGATTTTTTGAGATTCTAGAAAGAAGTATTTTCATTCTATTTTATTTGACAATTTTTTTTTTTTTTAGACTATGTGATAAGGTTTTAGAAGAATTCATTTTTTCCTTTAATTTGCAGAAAGTATGCTTATAATAGTTCCTCTCATTCCTTGTCACCTTTATACAACAGGACAATAATTCCGCTTTGACAATGCATCACATGCAAGACTGGGACACCTCGACGTGGTGTAACAGTTAATAAGCTTGTCTTTCTAAAACAATTGCAATTGAGTAGAGAGTGAAATCCTCACTGAATGTAACCATATTTTCAGCCTTGTGCCATGTCTAAGCTGCGCTTTGAAAAATCACCATCACATGCAAGACTCTTTTTGTCAATATTGTAAAATAGAACTATGGTAAGAATTCATGGTTATATATCCACGTTAAAATTTCATTAATATCTTAAACACTTGTTATGCTGTGCATCAATATGCTTTGCTCGGAGTGACCCTGAGATTAGAGAACGTATAAGAAGCAGGGTTACTTTACTAAGTAAAATGTGAGGGGGTGGGTTGGTTGGTAAGTCCAAGAGAAGAAGATACTTGATCCTTGCATTTGCTGTTGGCTCGACTTGGCCTGGGTAGAGGGAGGGGACATTTCAGTGTGTATAAGGCTAAATGGAAAAGATAGGTAGGGAGAGGAGTCGAGCTGAAGTTGACTCTAGCTAGAAGAGATTAAGATGTCAAACTGCAAAACCCCCAAGAGACAATCTTTTGGAAGAGGTACACAAATGGGAGTTGGGTGGGAAGGCTGCCAGAAAGTGAGAATGGTTAAAAGAAAGTCTTGGATTGCAATTGAAGAACCAGGTATCAAAATGGTAAATGAAATGACATCCTGGCACCAAGGAAGAAAAAGTGCACAGATTTAGAGAGGGGGGGGAAGAGAGAGAGAGAGAGTGAGAGAAAAAAAAACTATTTGAAAGATAAATAAGAGAATGGGGTGTTGGGTGGGAAAAGGGTAGCAAAGAAAACAGAGAAAGATAAACAACAAGAGAGTAATGAAAACTTTGCAAGGCAAAAAGACACACACGGAAAATGAATTGGGTCCAATTTAGAGAGATGCACAAACACAAATGAATAGGAAAAACAGTTGTAGGGATTTCTTGCCCAGCTGCAAGTACAAGGATGGTGAGGGAGCTGAGAGAGAGAGAGAGAGAGAGGTGCAAACATATACAGAAGAGAGTGTGTGTGTGTGTATATATATGTATATTATATATATATATATGTTTCATAATTCTTGTAAATATTGATGTAACAAGAAATCTTCATCCTCTTTCTAATCACATTCTCATATCTCTCCTCACTTTTTCATCCCCCCCCCATTATTGCTGATCTTTCATTCTCTTCAATTTCCGTCTTACCAGATCCTCTCCAGATTTTGTGTACTTTTTTTCTTTTTCTTTTTTTTTTACTCTACACCATCCATCTGTAAATGAGAGATGGTGTAGAAAAAAAAAGGGGGGGTACACAAAATCTGGAGAGGATCTGGTAAGACAGAAATTGAAGAGAATGAAAGATGAGCAATAATGGAGGGGATGAAAAAG